CCTGCAAAATGTTCCGGATGGACTTTTATCTGCACCTGGATCTCAGGTGCAGGACCGCTTTCCCGTCATGCCCTCAGCTGTCCCCAGCCGGAAGTGGCCTGTCTTCCCTCTGGTCCTTCTTCACGGCCGCCTCCACATCTCCGAGGCACCGGTGCCTTCTGCTTTGCATTGTGTGTACTGTGTTTATTTGCCTCCATGTCTGAACTTTCTCCTGGATCGTTTTTACCCCATAAAGGATTTTATACAGCTCCCCACAATGTTGTGCACAGGGGAGGCTATCTAAGTGAGAGAGAGAAACAGGGACTGGGAGTCATGCTGGTTTCCCCAAAACATGGACTGAGACGGGCCAGTTGACAGAAGTGTTTCTGGGAGACGCAGTGACAGTCCCCCTGGTACATCCCACCCGAAAGGCATGAGGTGTTTCTGTCTGGCTGGTTCCCTCCAGGTCCTCGGGTGTGAATTGGAAGCTGTAGGTGGTCAGGAACCTCATGGCATTTGGCACAGGCCATACCCCTGGCGTAGGCCTGGTCAGTGAATAATCTCGGGAAGGATGGCTCTATGGGAATAGTTTCCCAGTTGCTGTTGAGGTTCACGTGGTTGTCATTTATTGAATCGCTGCAGATTTTTCTCTATTGCACTTTGGCTCCAGTGCAAATAAGTTCATTCAAAGATAAAGTAAGTGCTTACACAATAACAATATTTTTGTCCATTAATTAATCACAGTAGAAAAGCATCTTATATTTTTCTCGGTTGTGAGCCATAATTTGACCTAATTCTTGAATTACCTTTCTTTTCTGATTTTTTTCTTTTTTCCGCCAGGATACATGCCATTCTCTAATGCGATGTAGAATAGGATGGATGCCCTTTACCTTCACCATCAATGCCGTCTTTGAACGCAGCCTTGAGCTGTTAACCAGAAGCGAGGCGTCCTAGGCCTTCCTTATGCACGTAAAGGAGCCCCAGCCCCCCTCGTAAATGGCTATTTATTAACACACATCCCAAACAACGTCTTACAATCCCAGGCCCCCACGCCTTCGCACCACTGTCCGCTCCATTGTAAGTTGAGGGAGGCCTTTGGCCATCTGTTTCATTAAACGCAGCGAACAATATCTGAACTTCATGAAGCAAGAGTCGGGGCTCCCCTCTCCACAAACCCCCCCTTCTGCTGCTGCTGCCACCACCAGCATCACCACCATATTTTTTTTGTTTGAACGCTCACATTGTAAAGTAGTGTATTCACACATCAATTTTAAAAGGCTGGCTGTGTTATGAGATGGGACAAAGCGAGCTCAGTGACGGCTCAGGCGCGGTGCAGGTGGTGGAGCGAGCTGCTGCCCAGATCAAAAGTCAAACCACAGTGAAGCTTCTTTTGAAAGTGCAGTTAGGGAGACAAGGCCAAGTTTATCTGCGGACACAAGAGCGAGTTATAGATATACATCTCCAGGGCAGGAGGACAGAAAGGGGCCCACAGTCGCTGGGTAAGGGTACTTCCCAGCGCTGACAGTTCCGAGGGTGCCTGTGGAATATGTAGCTCAGAGGGGGTTTTCTTCTTGGGTTTCTTTTTTTCTAATTAGTCTTTTATTGTGCAGCAATTGATAATTATTATTTGTGCTTTGGTGCTGTTCCGAAAGTAGCCAAGCTTTTTTTTTTTTTTTTTTTTTTTTTAAGCCACCTTGGGGGCAGGAAATGGCTTCTTTTCATGGTTGCATTTTATTTTTCAGCAGCATTTAAAGACAGACTCCTATTTATACCACACAGGCAGTTTTGTCTGCTGTAAACAAAGTAGGTGGCTGGGAATTGTGCCTTCCCAGAAATGTTTTCCAGGGCGGCCATAATAAGAAACAACTGTGTACATCTTGAGAATTTGTCGTCTAGGTATGAAGAAAGAATTCTTTGCTTTTCTGAGGACAAATACCCCACTATTTGTAAAGAAGTGTATCCAGTATCCAAAAGTGTGATAAGTATTTGTTAAATTCTAAAGTTTGCCACCACCTTGCTAGTATTAATTAAGGTTGTTTTCATTTACTATTTTGAACTGTTGCTAACATTTTCTGACAAGACAGAAGCTGAAGTGACAGGAGGCATAATCATTTTTTAACTTCAATATCCTATTATAAAAGATAGTGACTTCTTTTGCAAAGTTATATGAACTTTGAAATTAAATATGAATATCAGTGAAGAAAATGCCAGGATGGTACATTTTTTAAAAGATTTTTTTTATTGATTTCGAGAGAGAGAGAGAGAAACATTGATCTGCTGCCTCCTGCACCGCCCCCCCTACTGCGCCCTCAACCAGGACATGTGCCTTGACCATGGATTGAACCAGCAATCTTTTGGTGCATGGGACAATGCCCAACCAACTGAGCTACACTGGCCAGGGCCAGAATAGTAAATTTTTAAAGGGTTGAGAAGGCTTGGAATTATGGAAGAATAGCACCCAAGTTTCCTGTACAATTATAATTTACCTGGGAAAAACCACTCTGCTTTTTCATCTTCTGATGACTTAATGATTTTGTGATAAGGGGAGAAAAAAACTATTTGCTTTCAATTCCCAAGCTAGTTAGAGTGTCTGGATCAGGTTCCAAGGTCTAGGAAACCAACCATATTCTCTGTCTTAAGGCACAGGGTGGTGGTCCTTATCCTGGGGTGGGCTTGCCAGAATCTCTGAGCCACTGGAGTTCTCTGAAAATGTTTGTGTATGTGTGTACATGCATCTTCCTGGGAATTTTCCATAACATTTGTAAGAGTCCATGACCACCTCCAAAAATGAGCTATTGTTACAAAACTGTGCACAACGTCCTAACTAAATACCACTCAATTACTGCGATATCCTGGCTTATTTCTAATGAGTTAGCCTACCAGAAATACTTATTTTGAATTTTCCACAAAGTTTAACAAGAAACTTTGCAGGGATACCTTCTTTGGGAAACCAGATCATTTATCCAAAATAAGTCCTTAAAGACAACTACAACAATTAAAATCTATACTGTGGGGCCTTCTGGTTACAAGGCACATTCACCATACAAAATTTCATTTAATGTAATCTCCATAAGGACTCTGTGAATTGGTACTGCCATTGTTCCTCTTATGTTATAGTTAATTGAGACCTCCAGGAGTTGAGTCTTGTCCAAGTTCATTTCCACCAAGATTGGGCAAAACTTGGACCAATGCCCTGACTTCAGCCACAGAAATCATGTTCTTAGCTGTCTCTTATCAGGAACAGCAGCAGCAATCTTCTTCACCAGCAAATATTCAATATTATTGCGTAAAGGGAATATACTAGGCATCAGATTCAACTAACTCTGAACTCTACTCCCAGGTAGCTTAATATTTTTAATACCTAGGAGCTTGTGCTATATGGTAAGTGAGAAATAAATGCAACAGGTGATACAATGAAGAAACCCCTGGGGGGCTGTGGTAAGGTAAGACTACAGAGGAGACGGCAGCTACCTGGGGCCTAAAAGTTACTAATTCTTAACCCTCATATGTGGTGTACTGACTGTTTCCCTTTTTATGGCCACTTCCCAGTAGCAGAACTTGAATGCTATGGGATGGTGTCAAAAAGATCTGTTTGGCCCTTGCTGCTTTGGCTCAGTGGATAGAATGTCAGCCTGTGGACTAAAGGATCCCAGGTTCGATTTCAGTCAAGGATACATGCTCAGGTTGCGGGCTCACTCCCCAGTAGGGGCCGTGCAGAGGCAGCCAATCAGTGATTCTCTCTCATCATTGATGTTTCTATCTTTCTCTCTCTCCCTCTTCTTTCCTCTCTGAAATCAATAAAAAAAAAAAAGATCTGTTTTTCTGTGCCCAGCCAGTGTGCTCAGTGGTTAAGCTTTGACCCATGAACCAGGAGGTCACCAATTTGATTCCTGGTCATGGCACATGCCCATGTTGCAGGCTTGGTCCCCAGTTGGGGATGTGCAGGAGGCAGCCAATTGATGGTGATTCTCTCTCATCGATGTTTCTATCTTTCTATCCCTCTCCCTTCCTCTCTCTTTAAAAATCAATATATTTTTATTATATATGTATACATAATAAAAAAGATCTGTTTGTGCACAACTGTGTTGAGGGGACACTGGAAGTTAATAAGCAACATGTAACTGTACCTGCTCATTAAGTAAATATGATCCAAATACTGAGATTATTTTTAAATCGCAGTGGAGTTTAAGATTTTCTTCAAAGAATAAGAAAGGCTTGAAGTCACCTAAATAGTTCTAATTGTAAGCAATTATGAACAATCTTTTCCCACATCTTACCCCAATTTTAGAAGTTAGTGAGAATTTTGATGTTCTTAACTAAATTACATTGTAAAACTTAATAGCATCTGAAATTATCCTGCATGTTGGCTATACCTACTATAGCTATGATTCATGAAGAGATGCAAAGAATATTGGCAGAGTACATGAATTATTTTATTGTGGCATATTAATTATTCAATAAGTATATCACTTTAAAACACTGACTTTTTCACATATTCCAATTAAATCTTCCTCGTCAAATGGCCTTATATAATTTATTAGTAGAAAACTTGCCCAGCCAATAAAGAAAAGCATTTATTTTCTATTATGTATACATGATCTGAAACTATAGCCTTTTAGGTCTTTTAATCTGTTTGTTCAAGGCCAAACCATTTATATGGATAATTTTTAAAGCTTCTGTACAAAGCGAAAAAGAACATTTTATTTATTCACTGGGGTTTTGATGTGCCTTGAAATTGCATAGATAAAGTATTTTCAAGCTCACGGATGTGGAGTAGATAAAAGGTCTCTTATTTTATAAGGCTTTATGTGAGCTTTTCAAAAGTACAGTTTTCTCATGGTTAGAATTTTTTAAATAAAACATTATTTCACTATTATAATTGGAGTTTGATGTGGGCATCTTTTTTCTTCCTTGAATTGCATGTTACATTACGTGTTTAAGATCATTTTTATTACACTTTACCTCCTGGATTTTAATAGTTCTCTTGTTGGAGAAATTAATTTACCAATCCTCATTTTCAGCAAATACCAACTATTTAATAGGACTAGGAGTCGAAAACCCAAAAAACTCAGATTTAAGAGACAAAGAGTGAAAGATACGACTTGATTTTGCAACATATTGGTATGAAGATGAAAAATGATTTCCCTCCCCCTCCTTAAGAACCCGTGCTATGCCTGGTGGACTGTGGGCAGGTAAAGAGGAGACTTTTTTATTTTAACTCGGGCAACTGAACCCGGGCCAGGCTCTGGGTGAACATTAGCTGTTATTGGCTCTGCCATGTCAGGGCCAAGGCACAGCTTTCCCTGGCTGGAGCATTCCCCAGCTGCGGCGGCCACCGGACAGGTGGGGAATGAATATTGTAGAGCGGTGGGGCATGTTCAGAGCGAGCTCCCGCTCCCCGGGACGCGATTTGGAGAGGCTTCAATTGGGGCAAACAGGTGTTCCTGCGAGGAACTGTCCTCAGGTGGCTGGGGGTGCCATTCTTTCACACACATAAAAAGTGTCCCTTCCCTCTGCCCGCAGGAAAATCAGAATTAACTACAGCTTTTCCTTTTGAAATGGAAAAGAGAAATAAAAACATGGCACCAGGTTTTGGCTCCGACTGGATTTCCATGGAGCATGTCATCTAGGAAGGATGATGAGAATTCTGGAAGCAAAATATCCTTGTTGTGTTCAGCACTGGGGATGCTGTAAAAACTGAATGAATGCGGAGAATCTTTTTACCAAAGGAGGTACCTATCAAGCGGAATAGCCTTGTTTGTCTTCTATTACTCATTTCTTCATTCACCAAATATTTATTTCACTCACAAATTTTTGAACAGCAGGCTAAGTGCTAGGGTTACAACAGAAAAAAGGCCTTAGTCTAAGCTGTAATGATAGTAATTGGTTGGAACATGAAAGTGAACCTGATTAGTCTTTGGGGAACTATGGATGGTAATTGCTGGCATCAGAAAGGTCTCCTTTTGTGTAACATCACCATGTCGAGGATATGACTAACATTTTTTGAGGGCATCTTTTTACATCACATTTTACCATAAAACATAAAATAATAATATTAAAGGCAGTCATTAGAAGATGGTTTTTAATCCCTCTGCCTTGAAGCAAGCTACTTCCTTGATATACTAGTATTCCCTTCCAGGGTTTCAGTCACAATCCATGTATAATGTTATATTGCTTTTTCTCATTTATTAATATTGTATCTTAAATCTATTTCTAAATTTACACCTAGTCTTCATACTTATATCTTTCCTAATTTAGAAAATCTAATGAAAGTTTTTTAAAACCTTTTATTTTATAGTAAAAAAAACTTTATCAAAAAATAGGAAGAAAGTTATTCATAATCACAGTGAAAGGAAGCCCGGGGAGCAACTGGTTAAAGTTTTGGCATATTTTATGCCTGTCATTTTCTATGGATTTCATTTATTTAATTGAGATCAGTCAGCATGTACAGTTTTATATTCTGCTCTTTGCATTAAGGTTCTATTAAAAGCATTTTCCCATGCCACTAAAAACTCTTTGTAATTCTTATTTATAGTGGTTGCATAATATTCCCTCGTAGGAATATTCCCTTTATGTTAAACAGGTTTTTGCTAGCTTATTGCTATATATTGATGCTATGTCTTCATTCATGGATTATATTAGTTTTTTAGTGTGGCATCCTTGAAGGGAATAAGTGCTCATCTTATGTATGATTTCCCCATTCTTGAGTTGTTAACTTTTTGATCTTGTAGTCGGCTGAGCTATATCTTCCAAGTAATTTTTTAAGAAAAGTATATGATTTGTATATACAGATGTTCCCCCATTAACAATGGACTTAACGATTTTTAACTTCACAGTGGTGTGAAGGCTATATTCATTCTGCAGAAACCGTACTTTGAATTTTGAGTTTTGATCTTTTCCTGGACTAGTGATGTGCGTGCAATACTCCCCTAGGATGCTGGGCAGTAAGCTGCATCTTCGAATCAAGTCCAAGATCACAAGGGTAAACAACCGACACCCTGCAGTATGCTGTGTTGCCAGGGTGTTTTGGGATATTGTTTTGTGTCTTCTCATCCTGCCATGGCTGCAGAGTGTCCATCCGTACCTCTTCTTTAAGATAGTTGCTCAACTGCAGGCTAACGTGCTCTGAGCGCATTTAAGGTAGGCTAGACTGAGCTGTGATGTTCGGTAGGTTAGGTGTGTTAAATGCATTTTGACTTAAAATATTTTCAATTTATGATAGAATTATTGTCACTAACGCCATTATAAGGCAAGGGGCATCTGTATCCTGATCCTCACATATATGGGAATTGCCACCAATTGTATACATGTGACATGGATGTGTATGTGTATCTATGAATGTTGGTGTGGGTGTGCACGCACACACATACACACGGACACAGTTTGCTTATGAAGATCCTATGCTTCTTAGGAATCTACAGATGTTGAGCTGTTGTCTTCTGGCATTTATGTTCTCCAATCTGCAGAAGGGCAGACTCTGTAGTGACATGTTTGTAGGTTGTGTTGGTTTTGCTTTGGTTTTATAAGTCTTTGGAATTGAACAGTCTACCCAGGATGTGTCAATAAATGAGTCTCTCACTCATTTTGGTGGATCACAAGAACTTTAAATCCTCAAATTCAGGTCTTCTCTTGGCCCCTGAGGAGTCTTTTCTTTTATCGTGTCTTAGACTGTGGCTTCTCTTCCAAGTTTTCTGGTTTCAGAAACATCTGTGATCCTCACATTCAATCGCTATTTTATATTTTCCATATTTGTCATTTTTGCTCTTCTTTTTCTTCTCACTTTAATTTAGCTCCAATATCATTGATTCCACTTTTTGCAGCATCATTTCTACTTTTTACTGCTAATTATGTGAATATTAATGCTGCTGTTGCATTACTGTTTCATTGAAATATTTTATTTATCTCACCCATAGCTCCCCCTTTTAATTCTTTTCTCTTTTCTCAGTCTCACAGGTTCTTACTTTACCATTTTTCTGTCCCTTACTTTATAAAAGCTCTACCTCTTACTGTTTTCATTGAGGATGCCAAACTACTTTCAAAAAAGTTTTTTTGGTTTCTTTAGCACTTAATTTTCAGAATTGCACTCTTCTTCTGTCTCTTCAGGATGTCATTTCCTTAGCTTGTTCTGTAGGATTTTTTCCCCCATCATCCTCATGTTGTTTTGAGGTGTGTTTTTTAATTGGTGCTATAGGGAGTGGTAGGGAGAGGGAGAGAGAGAAACATCAATGTGAGAGAGAAACATCAGTTGCTTGCCTCCTGTACACACCCCAACTGGAGATAGATCCCACAGCCTGCACATGTGCCCTGGCTGGGAATTGAACCAGCGACCTTTCGGTGTACAGGACAACATTCAACCAACTGAGCCACACTAGCCTGGGAAGTTTTGAGTTTTTATTTGATTTGGTTACTTTTTAAAACTTCTTCCTAGATCTGCAAATGGATGGCAGCTTTATATGCTCTACTGTGTCTGGAGATAGCCCTTTGTCTCTGTACTGTCTTTATGAGAATGAAATGGAACTTCTTCCCTCCCCCACTCCTTGACTCTGGCATGAAAAATGTTCAACAAAGATGTGAAAGAGATACCAGGGTATACCACTGGCATCTCCTTCACATTTACCCTCCCCCCCACTACACACACACACACACACACACACACATATACACACGGACACAGTTTGCTTATAAAGACCAGAATGCTTCCAGGATCTATTGCATTACTCCATACCTTGCCTATCACTACCCAATATCGATTCATTGTTTTCCTGGGAACTCTTGTTACCAGCTACAGAAAAGAAAGAAGATGAGTGTGGGGAAGGAGCAATGAATACAGTAGTCCTAATGCCTCTATGTCACAGCATCAACTTATCAGAGATACAGCTGCTTGGCTTCTAGTTGTTACAGACCTTGCATTATTTTTATCTAGTAACAGCTTTGTGGGGGTGGGGGGATCTACTTCTTACATTTGTCAGTCCAATTCATCTTTTTGTAGAATTAGAAAATCCTTCCAGGCTCTGGCAATTTGTATGAAAGTTTTGCTGTCAATTTCTATCGTCTTCTATTTTTTTTCCTTCTAAAAGGGAGCCATCAACCAGACACCATTTTCAACTGGGAACTGTGGGTGATCTTTAAAATTGCTTGGGATAAGGGGACCATACAAACCATTGCTATGGCCCAACCCTGGGGCCTGTATTCCTGGGTGGTCTTGTTTTAACTGTTGCTATTTAATTATTGATGGTTTACTGACACAAGACATGGAAGCCTTAGGGAAAATGAAATCCTATGTGCTAGTTTCTTTAGATGAATCTTCTTTGAGGTGTAAGTGTCCCTCTAAGAAATACAGTGAGGCTTGATTCAGGGGGTCATTCCAAATACGGCCAGGGAAAGGCAGCAGTGGCGACTCATTCATTGGTGGGATCTACTGACGCACCTTGAAGGCTAGGCATCCTCACACTCTTTAATACTCCCTCCTAGGATAAAAACAACAGTGAAAACCACTTACTTAAAGGAACTGATTTCCCCTATTAATACTCTCATCCTGGGACGCACTTAGAAAAAATGGTAATTCACTCCACAGATATGTGCAAGGAACTTTGCTGGGTATATAGGGATGGAGGATGACTCTTGTCTTTAGAAAACCAACATCCTAATTGAAGAGAGCTAAGGAGTGCAGAAGAAGGGCAAACTCAAGATGGATGGTGATCAGAAACCTCAGTGCGCAACTCCCAGAGTCTGTAGATTAATGCCAGTTTAGAAGAATGAGCATGAGTTCCATGAATGACATGGCGTTTTATAATGGCCCCTAAAGGAGGAGTAAGATTTGTCCAGGCAAAGTTAGAATGGATTTCAGGCTAAGTAAATGGCTGGAACAAAGACAGGAAGGTAGCATCTTTCAAGGCATACATGGCTGATAATACAGATCAGCTCTTTATCGTCAACTCTATGATTCATGCCTTTTTATTTTCTGATGTCCCCATTTTAACGGAAGAGTTTGGGTTACCTCCTAACGCATTTGCTGTTGTGCACAACTGTCATCTCCTTCCCACGCGGACCCTTACCCAGGAGATAAAAGCTTGGCAAAGTCAAGTGGCCTGAAAATCTCTAGGACCCACTTTTTCTTGCCATTATTATTCTTTATTGAGCACCTACTATGTGCTCCAGGCAGAATGAACCTTGTTAAAGGCTCAAGTTCCTTCAGTCTTCATGTAGTCCATTGATTTGTTTCTTCCACAGGTTATTTCCCCTTGAACATCCCTGGATTCACAGTGTTTTTCTAATAATTCTGAAAAGTATTTCAAGTTGACTGTGTGTATAGGTAGGGTTTTTATTTAGGGCCATCATGACCCCAAAATCACCACCCTGGTCCAATGCCCAAAATGCCTCCGTTAGAGCTTGAACCAGTAGACTTTGCTGCCTCTCCAGCTGCTGTGTGGGCACCATCGTGACCTGTTGTCTCAGCTCCGCTGCATCTGACATAATCTGATTATTTGCTGAGGCTCCGTTGGTTTGGAGATGGGGAGGAGCTGCGCCTGGATGAGTTAAGAAGCAGCCTGGACGGTCTGGAATCAAGCTTCACAATATTGACTGAAACGGGTTTGAGCATGCTTCTGCCCCTTTTTTTCTTTCCTTTATTTTTTTTTAAGCAACAGTTTTGCTTTAATAGGACTTGAAATTTTTAACCCAGTTTTGCTTTGGGGGAAAATGTATTAACCATATGCCTTGTCAAGATATCACGTTTTTTAAATTTCCGAATGAAAGTCACCTCTCAGCACCGGGGTTCTCTCTAGGAGCACACCTGCCTGTTAATCACGGTCTCTAGCTTTTTATTTCCATTTGCAAATGGGGATGCTTAGCAGCAGCCTCAGAAGGAGTGACTGTCTCATCAGCATGACGAAGGGCTGATGAAATACATACAGGTACCTGGCAGGGTACCATGAAATCAATCCCTGGGCCTTTAAATCAGTTAACTGATGGGGGACAGGTGAGCCCAAGGTCCTGGTTGGTGACCCAGCCTGTGTGAGTTCTGACTGTAGTTATTGCATAAATAGGATTGTCAAAGCAAAAGAAAATGTTTTTTTTTAAAGAAAAGGAAAAAATCACTCATAACCCAATACACATCCAAGGACCTTTTCATCATTGTTTTAGTCCATTCATATGTTGACATTTTTCGTTACGTGGCTTTAATACCATTTTATGTGCTTCCTTTTTCTTTTTAACTTAACATGATGGCTTGCACTGCTATTGTCTATTTGGTATTGTAGTTAGTCTTTTCCTTTTTAATCAAATTATTATGACATTTATAGAGGTTCAGGGAAGCCCTGTAAGTAGCATGTGGGTGGTTTTCATTTGTTTTTCAGAAAACGGAAGGGCTGACTCGAGGGCGCCGCAGCTTAATATTTAAGAGGCCTCTGATTTCTAATAATTGGGTACTGAGATTTATTTGTATCATTCTTTACTACCCACATGGACCACTTTCACATCTTAATTCTCGGGTATTTCATAATAATATTGACGACAGAGTGTATCTATAAACAAAGCAGGCAGGTGGCCATAACTGGGGTGGGTTCCACAGATAGTCCATCTTCCCCGAGAATTCCCCCCTGGACTGAAGGCTTCATGCATTGTCAAATGTCAGTACTTGATCATTTAATTCCTGTCAATAACGGCCCCAGCTTGGTGGTGTGTTCACCAGGTAAAATGTGTGTCTGCCTTGCACAGAGCACTGAGGGACAGCCTAGAATAAAGGAGGCTGGGGGAGGGCTACCAGGCAGGGGCTTTGGGGGCTGCCTGGGAGGAGATGTGAGCAGGGTGCTGTGGGAGGAGCTGCAGAACAGCCAGGGGGCAGCATGGGAGCATTTTGCACCTCCAGAAGGAGGAGAGACAAATGGAAGAGGCAGATGAACACAACTTCACCTCTTTTCCTGAGCCCAGCCTCGGGAGGGTGATGGATGACTTCTTGTCATCTTTTGTGTTTCTTGAGCAGCAGCTAAAACGGAATCTCCCCACTGAGACCAGAAGTAGAAACTGGAAGTCTGTGGGCCATACATGGCCTGCAGAACGTTTTTGTTTCTTGGTCTTCACAGTTTTTGTTGTTTTGTTTAATTTGAGATGTTATTTATATATAATAAAATT